TGCGGCGGGACACGGTGGCCCGGCCACGCCGCTCGCTCGTGTCTCGGCCTAGGAGAGGCGTCGGCCGAGCGGGGCCGTGCTGGTCCCGCCCCCGCTCCCGCCCAGCCCCGCCCAGCGCTCCTGGAGTCGCTTCGGGGCCTCGCTGCCCGGCGGGCGCTGACGCTCCACGTGGTGGGTGGGGGTGGGGTCCTCCGCCTCCCCGTCCCTGCTTGCTCCCCCCGGGCCGTAACTGAACCCGGGTGTGCTGGGCGTTTTGGCTGTTGTCCTGCTTTTATTAAGACTAGATCGGTGAATAACGAAAGGATTTTTCCTAACGCGAAAACAAGATCAGGAACACTTATTGACCCTTCCATCCACAGAGGTGGAAACTGGCTCTGCCCGTTTAAGGCACTTTCCCAGGGCATCACAGCTACTAAGTGGCAGCGCCCATTCCAGCCCAACTGTCTGTCCCCAGACTCCAACTCCTTTAACTACAACTCAAAATAATGTCTGTCTGTTTTTTTGAAGTTTGGTGGGAGAACCAGCTCCTGAAACAATTCCAAAAGGGGAAATTCTGAACTATAGTTTTCTTCTCTGCCAAATGGGGAACAATTTCTGTGCCACAGAACGTTGTGACAGTGTAAAAATGGCAATGGGTGCTTAGCAAGGTGACTGGCACAAAATGAGCAAATGATACTACAGGTTGGAGGAAATGGATCAACCAGTCCTGAGGTGCCTAGCAATTGCCAATAATCGGCTACTTTCTGACCTACAGAAACAGCAACTTCATAATTCAACCTAACTTGCAGACTCTTCTAGAAAGCTGTCAGTGTTTCAGGGGCTCAAGGCCAGCCTGCAGTGGGGTGGCAGGGCACCATGAGGGGGAGTGAGCCAGCGGGGTCTTAGAACTCTCCAGAGCCACTCCTTAGCTGTGCTTTGAAACCATTTTCACAGCTGGCGAGGTGGCTCACGCCTGTAATCCCAACACTTTGGGTCACAGAGGCAAGAGGATTACTTGTGTCCAGGGGATCGAGACTAGACTGGGCAACTTGACGAGACCTCATCTCTACAATAAATAAAACAAAATTAGCCGGACATGGTGGCACATGTCTGTGATTCCAGCTACTTGGAAGGCTGAGATGGAAGGATCACCTGAGCCCAACTGGTCAAGGCTGAGTTAGTTGTGAGCATGCCACTGCACTCCAGCCTGGGTGGGGTGAGACTCCTATGGAAGGAAGGAAGGAAGGAGGAAGGAAGGAAGGAGGAAGGAAGGAAGGAAAGAAGGAAGGAAGGAAAGAAAGAAGGGATTACACTTCCAGATTTAGGTGGAGGCTGAGCGCTCTGCCCCACCCTTCCCCTGACGAGAGTCTCCTGAAAGGGACAAAGGGTTCTTACCAAAATGGCTGCAAGGAGGGATGGGCCAGACTTCCAGATGTGAGTTTGAGATTTTCCTCTCAAACCCCTGTAACGCTGGTTGCAAATGTTTGAAAGTCCAGTCTTTGAGTTGTCTACCTTTATCTCGACTTGGTAAACTTAAATGACCAGCCATGCTTGACACAATTCTACTTCTAGAATTTTATACCTAGGATATGTGTACAAATTACTGTAGCATTACTTATACTAGTGACTACTTAGAAACAACGTAATGTCGAATAAGAGGGAATTTGTTGAATATAACCCCAAATATGATAGAATACTACATATTAAATGAAGTAAGTGATGTCCTTGATATAGTATCGGGTGGAAAAACAACTTTATTTTTTAGTTGGAGTCTCACTCTGTCGTCCCGGTTGGAGTGCAGTGGCACGCTCACAGCCACTGCAGCCTCGATCTACTGGGCCACCACACCAGACCAATACAATATTTTTTAAAATTAGCACGCCTCATCAACAAGGGTACCTGCATAATGAACATTTGTATACTTAAGCCTGCATTGTACCCCACATCTTTAAAATAAGAAACTAAAAAAAAATTGATAGTAGACCAGGCGTAGTGACTCAAGCCTGTAATCCCAGCAATTTGGGAGGCCGAGGAAAGAGGATTATCTGAGCCCAGGGGCTCAAGACCAGCCTGGGCAACTTGGCAAGACCTCGTCTCTACAACAAGTCAAAAAATTAGCCAGGCATGGTGGTGCACGCCTGTAGTTCCAACTACTTGGAAGGCTGAGGCAGAAGAATTGCCTGAGCACAGCAGGTTGAGGCTGCGGTGGCCAGGAGCATGCCTCTATACTCCAGTCTGGGTAACAGTGAGACTCCAACTCAAAAAAAACCAATTAATATATTTATATTTGAGCTGGGCATGGTGGCTCACACCTATAACCTCAGCACTTTGGGAAACTGAGGTGAGAGGCTTGCCTGAGTCCACAGGTTCAAGACCAGCCTGGGCAACTGGGTGAGACCTCATCTCTACAATAAAATAAAAAAATTAGCCGGGCGTGGTGGCACATGCCTATAGTTCCAGCTACTTGGAAGGCTAAGGCAGAAAGATCACCTGAACCCAGCAGTTTGAGTCTGCAGTGACCGAGAATGTGCCACTGTCCTCCAGCCTGGGCAACAGAGTGTGACTCCACTCAAAAAAGAAAAATGTATATTTGTATGTCAGAATATATACCAAAGCCGGGCTTGGTGGCTCAGTCTGTAATCCCGCGCCTTGGGAGGCTGAGGTGAGTGGATTGCCTTAGCCCGCGGGTTCGAGACCCGCCTGGGCAACTTTGGTGAGACCTCATCTCTACAATAAATAAAAAAATTAGCCGGGTGTGGTAGCGCGCACCTGTAGTTCCAGCTACTTGGAAGACTGAGGTGGAAGGATTGCAGGAGCCCAGCAGGTCGAGGCAGCGGTGGCCGAGAGTGGCCACTGCACTCCAGTCTGGGCAACAGAGTGAGATTCTAACTCAAAAAAAAAAAAGAATATATACCAAAATTTTAACACTGGTTATCTCTGGGTGGGATGATTTTTATTTTCTTCTTTATGTTTATTCATATTTTCTCATTTCCAAAATAAACATGTATTACTTGTATACTTTTTTTTTGGAGTCAGAGTCTCACTCTGTCCTCCTAGAGCTATAGGCACGCGCCACCACACTTGGCTATTTTTTTTTTTTTTTTGAGTTGGAGTCTCACTCTGTCGCCCAGGCTGGAGTGCAGTTGCATGCTCACAGCCACCGTAGCCTCCACCTGCTGGGCTCCGGCGATCCTTCCACCTCAGCCTTGCAAGTAGCTGGAACTACAGGTGCATGCTACCATGCCCAGCTAATTTTTGATTTATTGTAGAGACAAGGTCTCACCAAACTGTCCGAGCTGGTCTCAAGCACACAGGCTCAGGCAATCCACTCACCGCAGTCTCCCAAAGTGCTGGGATTACAGGCTGAGCCACCAAACCCGGTCAGCTATTTTTATTATTATTTATTGTAGAGATGAGGTCGGGCCAAGTTGCCCAGGTAGTCTCAAACCCCTGGGCGCAGGCAATCCTCTTTGCCTCCCAAAGTGCTAGGATGACAGGCATGAGCTACTGTACCTGACCTGTTCTTAACAACTTAAACAATTAAACATCACTTTCCAGGGAGGAGATAACCCCTTAATGCCAAGGTTGCAAAGTTCTAACCCACAGACTATATTCAGTATAAAAACATGCTTTGTTTAATCTTCATTATATATTCCTAAAATACTGTATTAAGAAACAAGATTTAGTCGGGCTCGGTGGCTCAGCCTGTAATCCCGCGCCTTTGGAAGGCTGAGGTGAGTGGAT